ATTCAACGTATGTTCTCTTTAGAACAAAGATAGGATAGTTGCAGCTGAAACTGGTTAATAGCAATTTTCTGTTAACCTAGATAAGCACGTTTTTCTTATATCTAGTAATATAAATATATTTATATTTTATGTTACTCATAAAACAGTAAACCATAGGAACATTTTCCAGAATAGTAGTTAACTTTATATAACATTTACTCTCTCTAGACTCAAAACATCTTAATTCTCCTGTCTCTCTCTTTCCTCACTGCGCCCTGCAGCTGCTCCTGTCCACAAGCTTCTCTCATCAATCACACTTGACCTCTTATGTTATCCAACATTGAGAGGCTTGAGCAAGCATCGTACAGAGCCTCTGTCATGCTTAAACATTAACAGCTTCCTTCTGACTGACAAACTTATAAAAACCTCCTGCTTATTACTTACTACTCTTTCTTCATAAACTTAAAAAATACAATTGTGGTGAATCGTTTGCGTTTTCAGTTTCCTATCTACTTTAAACAACCATCAAATGAGAGTTACTATTGTATGATAAATACAACTCCTAAATAATATTACAATATATATTTCTTACAGTGAGTTTGTTATTTCATGTTTAACAATTCTCCTCTTTCTATGTATTGTACTAGGTGGAAAAATCCACTATTATATTTAATTTGAATAAAACCTTTACCTTAATGTACTTCATATACTCAGTAAACCTCTTCTTACTTTGCCTTAACGTTACTGTATGTAATTAAGTTCCTTTGAAATATAAGTAACAATTCTTAGTCAAATGACAAATACCATGAAATTCACAATGCAATGCAATGGTAACAATCAGTTCTCAAAGACTATGTTTAAATAGCAACAAATCATTGTTTCTTATTTATTTCAATATATCTACTACTTCAAATCACACATTGATCTATTCATTTTCAATGTATTCACTCCAACTTCAGATCACTCGTTGATCTTTCACTCCTTGTTTTAAACAGAGAAACACAATGCAGCCTTCTTTCAGAGAAAAAACAAGCAGACACACTCCGGGCTGCTGCTCGACAATTAGAAGGGGGGGAGATACTTTCACAGACAAAGACAGACACACCCCGGCTGGAACTCTCAGCCTTTTCAGAAGAAAGGGGGACATATTTCAAACTGTAGCTTCTTTGACCAATAAGAAATTAAAACTATGGTATACCAAAACATTTAGCGCTTTATCACAGACTCTACATTACGGTCTGACAAAACATGGAAAACTCCACTTTTGTATGTAGTGAATTCACAGAGTCGCCAGGCAAGTTTTATACTTTTAACTCCCTGAACTCAGATCGGGCTTATTAATCTCTTAATTACCGAACGGACCGGATGTGCACTTGGCTCGCAAAGCAAATCATATCCCCTCAGCCAAATGAATATCTGAACCTTAAGACAATCATTAGGATCTTCTCAGGCAGAATTCACGACTACGAGGTCAGATACAGTGATTCCTCCAGCATAACATGTCCTTACGGCTAGCAAAGATCATATCCCCTCAATCAAACCCTTAGCTTCTCAGGCAGATTACGAGGTCAGATACAGTGATCTCTCCAGTATAAACATTTATCAACATAAAACAAGACCAACAAACAAAACAATCAACAGATCTCAACCATAACTGTGCAAATATCTCAAATCCACTCCTCTGCATTTTCCTTTTAACCAATACAACTTCAAAAGTCATTTCATTCCAAATACGTTTTGCTTACTGTGAGTTGGTATTTCTTCTGTGGAAGTCTCAAGTCTGGTTTCTCAATTCCTCGAGATTTTACCACAGCTTTCTATGTAGCTGCCTGATCAGGGTGAGTTGAGACCTCCAGGGAAAAACACAGCAACCTCCAGCATCGGCAATCTCGGTAGGACCTCCAAAATGTTGTGGCGATCCAAGTACTCACACAACATGAAAGAATGAAACAGAGAGGAATCAATGAAACACAAACACAGAAATAGTTGAGATTAATCATTATTATTTAGTTGCGCACCACTAAACAATAATGGGGAAACATTACCTTGCTTCAAGAGCAACCAATCGCAGAAATGGTCCCGCGAATATTCAGAAACACAATGCACTTATAGGTTTCCTAAATGACACACGAACATGTTCCCTAATCATGTTTAACGCACACACATTGTCAGTTCTCCTAAACTTGAACGCACCAACATCAGAGCAACATGTAAGTTCCAGATGTCAAAAGGTCATTATCTCATGAAGTCTTTAGGAGCCTTGCAGGATATGAATTATCCAATTAACAAACTATATATATCGTCTGCACATGAGCGCACATACATTTCTTTACATTAACTAACACACCAACATCCTTATCGTTTCTTAGCTAATGCATGCTGTAATGAACCACTAACTAACAAGACTTTAACTGTATTATATCTGAGGAAGACCTCTCTTGGAGTTCCTCTGACCTTTGCCAATTTACTTAACATGGGTACATCTGCTGTTAATTGCAAAGACCATTGATAATTAGCAAAGAGACTCATAGGCCTCTTCCAATATCTGGAAACTGTAATTAAATCATAGTTATATTGAGAAGGTCCAAGACTTGACATAACAGTTTCCTGGTGTTCCACAGCTTCGGAGGGGGCACCGGCTCTGGTTTCACCTCCCTGCTGATGGAGCGTCTGTCCGTCGACTACGGCAAGAAGTCCAAACTGGAGTTCTCCGTCTACCCAGCTCCCCAGGTGTCCACCGCTGTGGTGGAGCCCTACAACGCCATCGTGACCACCCACACCACCCTGGAGCACTCTGACTGTGCCTTCATGGTTGATAATGAGGCTATTTATGATATCTGCCGTAGAAACCTTGATATCGAGCGTCCCTCTTACACAAACCTGAACAGGTTGATGAGTCAACTTGTGTCCTCCATCACTGCCTCCCTTCGTTTTGATGGTGCCCTCAATGTTGATCTGACAGAGTTCCAGACCAACTTGGTGCCCTATCCCCGTATCCACTTCCCTCTGGCCACCTATGCCCCTGTTATTTCTGCAGAGAAAGCTTACCATGAGCAGCTCTCAGTGGCAGAAATCACTAATTCCTGCTTGGAGCCAGCCAATCAGTTGGTGAAATGCGACCCACGCCACGGTAAATACATGGCCTGCTGCCTTTTGTATCGTGGTGATGTCGTTCCCAAAGACGTGAACGCTGCCATTGCCACCATCAAAACCAAGCGCTCCATCCAGTTTGTGGACTGGTGCCCCACTGGTTTCAAGGTGGGCATCAACTACCAGCCGCCCACTGTAGTTCCTGGTGGAGACCTGGCCAAGGTCCAGAGGGCTGTGTGCATGCTGAGCAACACCACTGCTATTGCAGAGGCCTGGGCTCGGCTGGACCACAAGTTTGATCTGATGTACGCTAAGCGTGCCTTTGTGCACTGGTATGTGGGTGAGGGTATGGAGGAGGGAGAGTTCTCTGAGGCCAGGGAGGACATGGCCGCTCTGGAGAAAGATTACGAGGAGGTTGGAGCTGATAGCCTGGGAGATGAGGATGAGGAAGGAGTATTAGAAAGCTTTATTGATCTCTGATCCATGCTGTTTTATTAATGTCAAGAAAATAAAGTTGTTCATTGACTGAACCTGAACCTATGCTTTCCTCTCGTCAATGAATACACTGTTAAACATGACCTATCTGCCTAGATGGGTTGTATGTATTCACTTGCTCAGTTCAATCAAAAATGTTTTCACACAGATGCTATTGCTCAATTCAGTCACTTGGAGGCAGTGGTGTTTAACATGTATATATCTGTTCTCTGAACACACCAGGCATGGCAATCTAGTTAAATGCTAGATTAATTACTACATGATTTCTCAACATCAGATGATTCAAGAGTACCATTTGCATATCTTACATTGACTTATTTAAGATTGGATTTGTGCTTTACGTGAGAAGAACAGAGTCCTAACCCCGGCCTGATCTCAAATAGGGTGTGGTATTCACTCTGGCCCAAGGGAGGGATAGTAGTGAGGCGGGCGGGGGTGGGGCTCTCATGCTGGCAGACAGGTGGTGTTTCAAAAGACTTAGTTCTGCTGTTCCCAGACTGGAAAATGAATGAAACTGAAAGCAATACATTAGGAACCATGTAAAGCCAACATTGAAAAGGGCTACATAGTGTTGTAAGGAGATGAGTGTTTTCACAGGTGTTGTAAACGTTTTTTTATTTTCAGTTCTGTAATCATTCACCATGTTCGGTTACAAATAAATGCTTTTTCTTGACATTAAGCAGATATTTAATGTCATTAAAACAGAAAAACAAAATGGATTCTACAATACAAAAACATACACAGCTCTCATTTAAAACCCAACAGGAACATACAGTACTGTGACTCTCATAAGCTTCCTATTGCCCCCTTTTCTACAGCTCCCAAACCAAAGCAGCAAATTGACAATAATGCATATAAATCCCAGTGAAAAGAGAAAGTTCCACAGTGTAGTACACCACAGTCTCAAATGCAATTAGCTGAAATGTAACTGGACCTGCTTTGGAGTCTGAAGAGACAGAGCAGCAGCAAGATGAAAACAAAAAGACTGGCTTAATGTTGGATTGCAGTTTTCTGTTGAAACTTGCAGATATTAAAACAATAACACCAGTAATCTTCACACGTCTGCTGCAGTGTCTCAATCAAGTTTAAGGCACAGTGGAGAGAATATTCAGTTTGTATGTTATTAACTTTCCAATAAACAACAAAGAACTGCATCATCATCTGGGCCTTCGGTCAGTTCATTGTAGAAGTTCTTCACCATCTCAAGCTCAGCACTTACATCTAAAAACCCAAAACATATTGTTTCAAACAAGTGGATTCATTTAATACACTAATGGAAATGTATTTTAAATGAGGATGAAATGTACAGTATTGTTTGTGATGTGTCTCCTTCACCTGGGATGGAGACACCAATTGTTTTGAGTGACAGCTGGATTGATTCCTGCATCGTGCTCTCCACTTTCTCCAGGATCTCCCACTAAATCAGCATTGAAATATTGATCACTGAACACTGACATGTGTGCACATGTATGTTTGTGTTGCAGTGTTCCTAGTTTCATTTGACTGCAGGAGGAAATATCAAATGTGACAAAGCATCAGGTCTCTCAGCTGTTTCATCATGGCGTCTTCAGCCTTATCAAACATGACGTCTTTTGAACCATGAACGTGCATTTCAATCGTTCCCCTCATGTTTTTCAGCGTGCCTTCTCCTTTCATTTCTTTTGCTCCTACATCAAACAGAAACATGTTGACATCAAAATGTGTAGAGGTGTATTTCTATGTCTGTAGTGATCTTCTGTCTTCCTGTCAGAGCATTCTTTCATGGTCTCCTCCATTGTTGTTGTCAGGCTGCTGGAGATCCTTCTCTTACGCTCACGGAGGAGTTTCTTGAGGTTTGTTTTCATCTTTTCTTCCTTAGAGAGAGAATGTGAAGCAAATATCAACATCTTTGAAAAAGAACATGTTGCAGACTATGCTCATCTTTCCCTTGATTCTTTGTTCCAGATTGTACCTGGAAAAGCAGTACATGATTCAAAGTGATAGCACGTGTTCACCAGCAGGGGGTGCACTTTGCCCAATATCAGAATATTCTATTGTCATCTTGAGAGTTTCCTCATGAACTGGGACAGGGTCCGCTTTACAGCTGCAGGTCATTCTTCAAAGCCATCTCCAGCTCATATTGAGTTATTCCAGTACAATGTATATGAATATGCTGACTGATCAATATGTATTCTATTGATCACCCTTCCACTACAGTCTCCCTGGCCTGGACAAACATGTTTGATCATTGACTAATGAATAGGGTCTTTGACCTCTTGAGAAATGTCAGCTGCAGTTTGACATTTCCGCACTCCTTCTTCCTCATCTCCTCCTCTGTGCCAAGTGGAAATGTATTGATGACCCCGTTGAATGGTTCTCTTTCTCCTTCATTTCTAAAACGTATGAACACAAAGAAATGCTTACATTCAGAAGGCCTTACCACATTTGTATTTCAATAATGTATTTCAATGTATTGTAAAACACAATTGATCCAACACAGGGTTTGATGTGTTTAGTAAGTCATTTCTTACGGGAAGGTCTTCTTCAATTCCTCCTCAATGCTGTCAGTCAAACATGAAGTTAGCTTCATGTTGATGTTTCTTCATTCCCCTTCTCTTGGTTTGTGGATGCCACCATTCTCAACTCCACACTTCAGTGACCTGTGAAGTGCACCACCTTTCTTTGTCTGAAACAACACAGAATGTTGGAAGAGACAGATCCATATTTTGTGCTAAATGAGTCGTTTTGATTTAATTCCAACTGAAATACTTACAGGATAAAGGACCGACTTTAAGACTTCTTCACATGAACTCTTTGATGTTTTAACCCCCCCACTGAGACATCTTTCAAAAGCCATAAGGGTCCATGGGTTCCCTGACTTGATCAAGTTCATGACTCAGCTTCTCTTCAAGTCCTATGGACACAGCCGTCTTTATGTCAGCCTGAAACCATACACAACACATTCATTAGTTAAAGCAATACAACCATCATTCAATATGGGGCTTTGTGTTTCAAGCAAAAAATACAAAAGCTTTGAGTAAACTGTAGCAATGCATCCTCTCTGAAGCAACACACACTCAGCTCATCCAATACCTTGTTGGCTCCACGGGTAACATCACATGTGAACAGTCTTTCTTTGACTTTACCATTTGTACACAACATGTTAGTGTATGCAGCTTACTTCTTTTCTATGAATGTTATTATTTCTGTCAATATGAAAGACAGTGAAAGATGTTGTTACTTGATGTTCCTCTCTCTCTGCTGCTGGCTGCCTGAATCAGAGAGAGAACCCCCAGAGCTCCAGACACATAGTTCCATGTCTGCCAGTCGTTGAGATCTTGCAGGAATTCCTGTAAAAAATGTAACATACTTAATTACATTCTTGACTTTACATGTTATACTCAATTAGTATCTCTACATATTTATTAGAAGAGATCAAAGCATTTTCATTTAGTCATTCCTGGCTCACTGATGGAGAATTGAATCACATGTGTCATCTGGATCCAGACGTTTCTTTTTCATCAACTCTTTGGAGCTCACTGTGAAAACTTTGAAACATTCCTCACTGAATTGTTTCAACAACAAAAGAGTTTCAATATCAAAGCAGGTTTGCAGTTTGGGACAATATTTGTGTTTTTGTATTCAATATAACTCACCTTAACGTCTTTTAGTTTGCTGAATTCTGCCTTCACGTCTATCTTGGCTTGCTCGTTTTGTTTTAGTATCAGAGCACGAACATCAGCTGCTGACCTATAGGAAAAGATTTGTATTTGAAGAATGACATGAACTGCATATATATTCCAGGATATGATATCACTACGCATCTCCATCTTGCTTTCAATGACCAATGATCACATAGCTTCATCCAGCATCACTAAGTGTTTGTGAAGCAACAACATTAGGACAGAAATAAATGGCTGAGATGATGAGGAATCAATGCAGGCATTTTAGAAACACGGATACTGTTATGATCATGGATACCCTGGTTGATCCTGTTTCAAGTGAACATTATATCCCTGAATACCATCCAAACCAGGATACTAATGTGCCTGTAAACGTAATCAATGTTTCCATGGTTTCTCCTCTTGGCCATCAGTGTCTAAATTGGATGGTACATTTAACTGTGTACTTTTGCATCTTAAACCACTTACTGATCATCTGAACCTCCAAGACTATCAGACTTGGTGCAGATCAAATGAATCTGCTGACACTCGCGACCATTTCCCATGAGGCTGCAGGATTCTTCCAGGATCTCCCAGGATTCTTTTTCAGAAGCTGCTCGATTGATCTCAGCCACAATCCACACAGTAGAACAACTTCCAACAACCTGGAGGGGAATACAGAAAATAATAACGGTTACGTTGTCAGTGTTCCACAATAATCAGCATTGCGTGTGGATAAATCACCTTTTTCCACATTGTGTCTCTGGTCTTGTTACGGTCCCGGTTTCCAGGAAGATCCACAAGTGTGACGTGCTGGAGAAGACCCTTCTTCGGCCCCCTGACAGTCACACACTTCACCAGTGGCCAATAGCACTTCTCTGTGGATGTTTAAAGGCACACATGAGAAGCCACACAGGAAAGGAAAAATAGATCTGTATCCTGATGACCTGATGCCGTTACATGTAATACGTTACTCCCTAAGCCTGTTTTCACCCACCTGCAACCGATTCGCTAATAATCACAAATGTTCATTTCTTCGACCCCTTGACTCGACTATTTCTTGTTTAATAATCGTTACATCTCCTCACGACCAAGTTCCCTTGTCCTGCCCAGAAATCAGATTTTTCTTAAAATATATTGTATTTATTTTCATGACAACCTTCAGAACTTTCTTCATAGATCTGACATTTAAGTAAGAACTCTGATTTATTACTCAAAAGAAAAAATCTGTTTTGGTCAGATCCAAAAAGTGAATCCACATGTCATCCTAATCCTCTTCTGTGTTTCAGAGTTCTGAGATTTGCATTACAATCAATTAAAACATGTATATATTCCTAGATCTCAGAGTAAAGTCAGAATTCAGAAAAGTTTCCTCTGAATAAAAGATCAAAATCATTTCAATTTAAAATAAAATGTCCCCATGTGGCCCTCATCCTCTTTCTGACCCTCTTTTTCCCACGCTCTCTAAAGTTGAACTGAATCAAAGAAGGATTTTCTACACGTCGTAGCGCCGCAGTCAACAACTATGTCTGATTATCTCAAAGTGTGTAGGGTCCTTTCATCCAAGGTTTTAGAGAGAAGTGCATTAAAGATAGTTCAGTGTGTAATGACTTTTAAACATATATCATTTGAAGGGTTTTCTTCTTAGATAGTGAAGTGAAACCTGCAAGACAAAAGTCAAGATGGCATGAATTGTGATGCGTTTGATTTCTTTTCTAAGAGCCTCAAACGCCTCTTCCCAAAAGGCTTTGTTAAAAAAAGGGAACATGTACAGTATAATATCGCTTATCATGTTTGAGTGATTAGTCTCAATGTTGGGACATAGCCACCAAAAGATAGGCTCTCAATGTTTCGAAATAATAATGATCCCTCCACCAAATGCAGATTCAAACTAAAGTAACAGGTTGGTTTTGAAAATGTAAGAAGTAGAAAGTACAGGATTTAGTGTTAAACATGTAAGGAGTTTCTCCTGTCAATCTGCTCTAAGACAATGAACGAATTACCCCCCGTTGCTAAGCAGAATCTTTTGATAACTAATGCTTAGTGGTCATGGAAGAAGCTTAAGACCAGATTTTAGACCCTAGCAAAGAGCAGGTATTATCACAATGATCTATTTGACAGTGGAAGACTTACAACATTTGAATTACCATTTACAAAATACAGACTTCTAAAAATATTTACAGGTCAGACATTATGTGTATAAAAAATCCAATTCATTGGAAATCTCAAGAGACTCTCACCTACTAAAGAGGTTTTTCCTGGATCACAAAGAACTAAAACACTTTATATCCAAATTCAACTCGGAAATGTTCAATCTAAATGCAGACCAACTTGGAGGGTTGAGAACATCTTGGTGTACTCTGCTTAACTGTGTGATGCATGATGGTATCTGGGTTCATATCTTGAAGCTACCTTCCAACATTTCAATTTGGAACAGATATAAAGAGTTATAATATTCTCCTTATATCTATAGTAAGTATAAGACGGGGACCTCACAGAATTGTCCAATATGTGAGACTCATGTAGGGACTAGGCTGCATTGCAATGAAGGAATGCAGCAAAACTCAAGTATTTTGGAGGGCAACATGTGCAAACATCACTACAGCAATCGGTCAACAGGTGTCAGTGGAACCTCTATTGTGTCTGCTTGGATATGGCCCTCGTCCTCTAAAACAGTGGTTCCCAACCTTTTTCAGTCAGGCCCCCCTTGGGTGATTGGAAATATTTTCGAGCCCCCCCTAACCCCGTTCCCACTTAGATTGTTAGAATTCATTGTATATAGTTTGTAAGAGTCGGGAGTCATCCGATATAATTCATTCCGAACTTAAATTACTCAGACCTCCTAATTGACCTAACCGAAGTTATTGAGTCTATGTAAGTTTACTGCTTGGCTCAGATCCACCAACGATCAGCAAGATCTCACCTCTATTAACTCCCCGAAGAACCAGGTTCAATTAACTGCTGTTTCAATTCAGACAACCCCCTAAATCTGTTTAAGCAATCCCGAAGGACTTTGATATCAGTAAATGAGGTGTGGCCCTACCTAAGTGTGAGTGTGGCAGGGTGCGATCTTACCTTTCAAGCAGGAGAGGAGAGCGCAGATGTCTTTTAAGTTGTCCCAATCCAAAAGGTGGGATCAGTTTATTTGAAGAAAAATAGGTCCAAACTAATACAGGGCTTTATCCTTCTCTCATTACAACATTATAATCATACTAAACCTATCATGCTGTGATCATGTTCTAATATGAAACTTTAATTCACAGTTTTACATTTATTACCAAAATTGTAACTTCAACTGCCCAATTCAGTTGTGACATTTAAAATCTCCCGATAGAATTTAGAGGCTTTTCCTCATAAAAGACCGTTGTTAATAAAAAGCACATTCAAACTTTCTTTCACCAAATCAGTTCACATCAATTCCATACCTTTTTTCCGACACAGATGGCGGGAACTAACATTCACAAACACATACCTATTTCCCAATCATGCTGGGGAAGTTTAACCTAGTTTTAGAGACAGGGTCAGAGAGGCAGGAAGGGAGTGGAGCCTGATGGGGACACTGAGAATAGAAGGTGAGAGGGTAAGAGCTACCAGGAAGGCCATTCTTAAGTATTTGAGTGAAACAGGATTGATTGGAATAATTTTAAACAACGTAAATACAGTGGTATAATTCCACATATGGTGATAGGATGATATGGTGATACACACTCTTGTACAGTAGGTGGCGGTATGCACCTTAAAGTTGTTTGCAATCAGAAGAAGAAGAAGAAGAAGAAGAAGAAGAAGAAGAAGAAGCTGGGTCCATGTGGCGTCTCGTCGCTACGGTTCTCTCTCTCTGTGTTCCTGAGAAAGTGTGTGTGAGCTCCAGCACTACTGGTCCATCATCTGTGTGTCTGGATAAACCTCCGAATGGACTCTGTGCTCTTTTTTCTGGAGCGTTTACCTCGGACTATAGGAGCTAGCTTAGCATGCTAGCTGGAAACACGTTAGCAACACTAGTCAGATTGAGAGTTTGATGGAGAGAGAAACGGTGTGTTTAACGGAGTCTGCAGGAAAAGGTGATCTAGGAAACATGAGTAAAGTCCAAATGCTCGAGGAGGAGCTGTCTCTTTCCAAAGAGGAGAACAAGAGACTCCAGAAACTACTGGACGCTGTTTTACAGCCTCAGCTTCGGATACACAGAGCAGGTATGTTCCCTTTACTCTCCATTAACACTTTAAACTCTTCAGTCGCACTTTATTATCACATTAATAACACTTTAGACCAGGGGTGTCAAACTCAAGGCCCGGGGGCCAAATCTGGCCCGCGACTTCATTTTATGTGGCCCCACAAGAGCTTGCAAAGAATATAATATGTTTATTATACGGTTACATGCTACTTTACAGAAGCACGTTGCCCATAAACGACATGTCCCACAATGCATCTCAAATTTGACTTTTTCTCAGAATTTGACTTTTTTTGTCCAAATATGCCTTTTCTCTTAGAATTAGCCTTTTTCTCATAAATAGATTTTTTTTTCAAAATGTCACTTCTCTTTTTCAAAATGTCACAATCAATGATTTTCCAGTGTTGTATCTTGTGATCAATAATTGTATGTCCACAACATAGGAGTAGATTTAACTGGTTTTACTTTGGTAACATGCTTCCGGGACTTCCTCGTGGGAACATGTACAACAGGCTCTTTTTAATACCAAGAGTGAGTTTGCCCCCTGCTGGACAAATGCAATAACATGTAATAATAACACAAGGTAAGATACCACATTTCCCCCCCTTTAAGCTAACAATACTTCCCGAAGGTGGGGGTATAACATACTCCCGTTACACAACATTTCGAGGTACTGGCATAAACCATTTCACTTTCAAAGATTAACACTCTAAACCTTTCCTTAAAGTGAGATCAGAGAACTATGCTGCTCTATTAATGGAACATCTCTTGATCTATTTAACAAAGTCTTTCAGGTATACAGGTGGCTGTCTCTCGCACTCTGATCGTCTCACCACGGGTGTAGCAGGCAAGTCCGGCGGGACCGGAGTACACAGAACCACTGGCTCACTTGCAGGAGGTCCTTCTTGCTCGATTGTCACTGGAACCACAGTGTCTCTGTTGGAGTCCAGCACCGGCTCTAAGGGCACGGTGTCTGTTAATCTGGCTCTTACTTGATCCACATGCCGCTTCACGACTTGACCACTTCCAATGATCACTGTATATGACCCTGGACCTGATGAGCTCTCGATGACCGCAGCGATCCATTTAGGTCCATAAGAGTAGTTTCTGATGAACACTTTATCCCCAGGTGAGAAACTTCTCAGTTTCCTGTTTGTGTCATGGGACTGTTTCTGTTTTAGTTGTTTTTTGCTGCACTCTTGTTTTCACATCTGGCAGGAGCAGAGGCCTGTACTACGAAGCCGGATTTTTGCTTAGCCGGCTGACTTCAGGGAAAACTCGGGCTTTCCGGTCCTACGACGCTGGTTCTCTTTTTAGCGGGCTAAATCTCCATGGTAACTTATGCTGAGCGGCTAACCTCCCCGGGAGGAGGTTAGGTTGCAGGCTAAGAGATTAACTCAGTGAAAGCACCGCCTGCTGACCAATCAGAGCTCCGTGTGTGCGGAGTTTAAAGCGATCAAGTCATATTATTGATAGAGGAAATACAGAAAAACTGCCGTTGCAGGAAAGACGGCCGGCAAAAATCAACTGACTGTGTGAACGTGAAAATTAATAGAATATCCCCTCCCATCTTCAGAGCAATCTGACTATTATAACATTAGCGTTAAGAAAGCTTACTTAAATATCTGCCACAACATAAGTAACCGGATCAGAGTAACATTAGGCCTATTTGAAACAATAGTAGGGGCTTTTACCAGCTCGCCAACTTACAGGCATCATAGCAGTATGAATAGCCTTAAAAACCCAACCCACTCTGCGGTAACGAGAGTCATGTATCTGAACCAAATGCCCTAAGTGAAGCCGTTAGTCTCATCTGACTGACCCAAGGGTTGGTGCTGGTGTGACAGGGAGGCTTCCAAGTGTTCATAGCAGATGTCATGCTTTCAGTTCATGGCTCAGTGGGGGGGAGCAGACCCATGTGAGACAGTATCAACGGCTGTAATGTTCAGTTTGAGGAGTGTCATTCTCTCTGGGAGCAGGAAATGGTGTCCATTCTCGGACCACACCATTAATGTCATGTAGAGCAGCCATAGCATCTCTGTGACTGCACTCAGCCGGACTGCAGCAGGGCAGAACTGGGTGACTTTTAGTGAAGCCGTCCATGGCCATAGACAACATGGAACCACGTACTAACAAAAGGGTCACAAGGTCATCAATGTCTCTCTTTACCTTTGGCCTAATTGTAAAACAAATTAGTGGAAGAAATGTGGAACACTAATCCATCATCATGTGAAATTTAGAGTTAATTTAAATAATTACTTATGGGTTGAAGTCAAATTAACATTAGAACTAAAGTCAGTCAAAATTGGACGTGCACGGATCAGAATCTAATCAATTCACCATTTTCCCAGCTCTGTAATGAAAAGGATATTAAGATTAGGTACATTACAGGAGTGATAAAACATCCAAACATGCACACGTATCTTATTCTAGTAGAGATTAGAGGACAGGTCTAATGTTTGTGAACAAAATGATCAAGTCAAAGTTATTTTATTTATTTTATCTTATGTACCACATTTAATTTAATAATTAATCTTAAATTACTAATAACTTTAAAGAAGGCAACAATTTACAATGTGGATAAGGTGACTACTTATCCAAAGTGTGTGGGTGTGTGAACAGCTTGTCTGCCCAAGGTTAAAACATTTGGGACAGCAGTGAGAATGTTATGAGAAACAATTTGTTGCTTAGACTGAACTCGAAAGAAGCTGAGATTAGAACATTTTAAATAAATCAAAACACTTGTACATTAATTAAATACATTTGACATTTAGCTTGAGCTGGGTTCAATACTTTCTTTATGGTATTTAAATTGGGCTCAAGTAGAACCTTTACATGGATTTGGCTTGCAACACAAAGTGATACCGATCTCTGTCTGTTATGATTTGAAAGTCTCATGATTTAAAGTGTAGGGCTGTGAAGGAGAGGCCCTTGGAAAACATCTACTTTTTTTAACTGTAATTACTTATTGTAAAGAGATTGCAACATTATACTTTTTAAAGAATTGCTCAATTAATTTAACACATTTATTATGCACACTGTAATGAAAACGTCAACAAATATATTGATCCTGGCTTAACCAGCGACCTTTACTCTTTTGTTCATAAGCTCGGTTTCAGAAAACTTGTCAGTAGTTTAACAACTATTATAATTGTAGTAATGTCTATGGAGACCAATTGGTTGATACGAGAAATCATTTGAAGCAGTTTAATAAAG